CCACTATCGCCGCGTGGGTGGCACCCAACGCCGCGACAGTTGCAGTGCGCTGCGTCTGCCTGTCGAGGTGGACCAACGGCGACGACATACCCGTGGGTAGTCACTCACGGCGGAGAAGCGAGTTGGGTTGCCACAGCCGCCCTACGTGCTTCACTGCAATCAGACCGAACTCCGAACAAGGCCAGGCCAGGGCCTCATTTGTGGAATCACGCCGATCCCAGAAAAGACGGGGCCTTACTTGAACTTCCACCTCCCGGCAAGACCTGCGCACCTAGTGGCCCCCGCAGTGACTTCCTCTTCACTTCCACCTCCCGGAATGATCTACTCACCCAGCGGCCCCCGTAGCGACTTCCCCCTTCACTCCCACCTCCCGGTATGGACGGCTCACTCAGCGACCCCCGCAGCGCCTCGCCGCCTCCGCGGCGGCCTCTCTCACCTCTCGCCATGACGTCGGGCCGCAGTGTGCGCGCCGTCTGAGGCGACCGGCGCTTCGGCCGCGCCTGGAGCCCCACCGCATCGATTCCAACGGCGGCGTCTGGCCGGCGCGTCAGCTGGCCTTCCGTCGATACCGCCGGCCCGCAATCGATGGCCGATGGCGACGGTGGCACCAGCCGTCGCCTTCGTACCCGGACGGGTCGCCTGGGCACGGCAGCGTGACGTCACGTAACGATCTCAGGGGAATGCTGCCGTGCGTAACGTCCCTGGAATATGGGATGGCTGGAGCTTACTCGTTCGTCCCTCTCATCTCGGAGCGTTGTGAATAACACCGGCGGAAAGTCAGGAGCTATTTTCCCGCCAGATCAGCAGAACTCAGCTCACCGGATCAGCGGAGCTCAGCTTACGAGATTACCGGGGCTCAGCTCGCCAGATCAGCGTGGCTCAGCTCGCCAGATAGCCCAAAGACACGTTTCGCCAAAATCGGGCTCAGTACCCCACCTTGGTAGTTGCCCGACAGGCGAGGAAATGAGGCAATTCAAAGCTCTCCCAGTGAGCGGTAGCGAGTACCGAGGGGGCCCGACAGGCAAAACATCCTAGGGGCCTGCTTGTTTGCCTATGTTGGGATCAGAGACCTGGAGCTGGAGCCACTCTTGGTCTGCCAGGGAACGGGGCGCCTGCAACGTATCTACCCCCCCCCCCCCCTCATGTGGTCTCTTTTATTTTGACACATGACATATTGTTCCTCGCAACCATCGCAACGCGTTTTAGTCTTCCGCACGTGCCGACGCGACGGGTTTCTTGTTAACGGCTCGCCGGCTGGGCAGTGCAATCAGCTCATGACGGATAACTGATGCACAATTTATGCTTGTTATAAAGTAGCACAAAATACCCCAGCATCCAACATACGTCAAGAGCGTGATGCATTAGTAAAGTAAATGTTACACACTCAAAAGGCAATGTAAATGACGCATGCGATTTCGGCGGCACGTAAAATTACGTTCGACAATTGTGTGCAAAAATTCCTCGCCGCATATCCGACTGCTGCCCTGAGGCGAAGACACCAAAACCGATAGGGACGGAGCCTGAGCGATCATGAGTGCCCCAGGGAGCCGACAAAGTTCGTCAGCAAGTACAGGGTCCTCAGAGCAAGCGTGAAGAATCCAAGACTAACGTAGTGGGCCCCTAAACGAGCGGTAGTGCCACGGAAGGCTAACATATAAGGCCTTGGCTGCATATATATATATATATATATATATATATATATATATATATATAAGGCTGGCATCCAAGACCATGAGTTAATAATATCCTCGTGCGATCAAGAGCGCACGGGCAGGCTAACAGGAAGAGCCTCGATAGGAGGGAAGAGTCCTCCGCAAATGAGACCAAAGGGGGAGAGCCCTCGATCAAAGTAGAAGGCCCGAGCATCAAGCGTCTCGGTGCCTTACCCCATAAGCGCCCCAGCAACAGCCCAAGGCCCTCCAAACAAGTCGAGAGACTTGTACATGACCGGGACTAATATGAAGAGCCCCCGAATAATTGAGTGTACCCTGGCTCATGGAAAAAGCGTACAGAGCCCTTCGAGCGAATGGGAAGAATCCGTGGAGGAAAACCTGCATGGACCAAGAGTGCCCAGGCAGGGAGGCAGAAAGCGTCCCTACAACACGTTAGGTCCTACCAGAAAATGCAGAGATTAAGGGAAACGTGCAAAGCTCCTTAGCTATCACACTGACCGGGAAAATTGACATACAGAGCCCAGATAATCAACGGCGCGATGCCTCTAGACAACGTAATGAGCCCCAAAATTTCCTCTCAAACAAAAAAAAGCTCGGGCATATCACGCGTGGTCTCGTGCCCCCAGTTACCGTCTACATCCGCCACCGGCCCGAGCAGCTTAATAGATGTAGTCCGCCAAGAACACAGGGCCTTCCGTTCAAATATGAAATACCCACATGATGTAAAGGGCGCCGAATAATCGAGTGCGCCGGAGCAGGTAAATAGATAGGGCCCTGAAGATGGTGGAGGGGCCTCCATTCAAATAGGAAATACCCAAAACCAAATGCAGAGGTCCCCCAACGATTGAATGAGCCCGAGCATCGTATCAGAAGACCCGACAAAAGCGTAAGGCACTCAATTCAAATAAAAAGTACCCAAAACCCAGCACGGAGGGCCCCCGAAGGATGGAGGGTACCCGAGCAGGTTATCAGATAACCCCGAAGGAGCGCAGGGCCCTAAAGTCAAACGCCAAGAACCAACGCGCAGGGCACCGAACAATCCAGTGCGGCCGAGGAAGCGAACGAAGGAGGGTCCCGATGAGCGCGTAGGGCCGCCATTCAAATAGTACGTGCCCAAGACCCAATGAAGAGGGCCCTCAACGATCAAATGTGCCCGAGCAGGTTATCAGGTAGGCCCCCACAAGACCGTAGGTCCCCACATTCAGATGAGAAGTACCCAAGACACAGCGAGGAGGGTCCCGAATGACCGAGTGTGGCCAAGCAGGCTATTAGATGATCCCCCGGCAAGAGCGTAGGGCCCTGCGCAAGTGACAGAGAATTGGAAGCGCCCTAGGCTAATGTAGAGGGCCTCTGAGCATATCACAAGTGTGCCGGTAGGTTAACAGAGACGACGAGTAGGTTAACCGAGACCGAGACCGTTACAGGGTACCGCCTTTTACGCGCGGCGGCGGCGGTGCGTTTTCTTCGAAATTTAATTGTGGTTGCATAATTGGCTGGTTTTATTCGTCCTCACATGACAGCAATACCTATTACAGCTCAGGTGGCTTTTGTTCAGGCGTTAGTGCACAGCAATCCTCTTCTTTGACCCTTCCTTTTCACCCATCCGGAATCACTCGCGTTAAGCCTGTGCGCACTAAGACATCTAGCTTTTGGCCTACGGGTATACCGCTTCGTGCGGCCGTGCGTGGCTTCGCGGTTATTTAGGTCTCCACTAGGGCCCAGAACACGCCTCGTGCCCCGCAGCAGGCAGTCCGGAGCCTGGCAAGATCCCCGCCAGCATGGCGCTGCGCCAGTACTACTCTAACCATTCCAATGCACCCACGAGAGTCCTCCCAGGCTGGTTAGACCTCTCGCCAAAATGTCAAATACCTGTGCCAAATCGTCAAAAAATGAATGCAGTTAATGTGGTTTCATGACATTGGCCAGCAAGTTGGAATCAAGACAGCGAGCCTAGCCTACTTACTTTCACCGGGGCATCAACGCAAATCATTGCCAAATGCACGGTCTCCTGCAATGTTTATTAAGTACTCTAATGACAACACTTGCGAGCCGCGCACAGGGCTTCGAACACAACACCACCGTTCAACGCACAGGGCGCAGGGGACTAGCGAGGCTCGACCAATCAGCGAGCGGCGTCCGCGCTGCCGGGGGCCTCGTCACCGCGCACCGAGCGGGTGAGCGGTGCTCGACCAATCAGCTGGCGGCGCCCGTGCTACCGGCGGCCTCGTCACCGCACACAGAGCAAGTGAGCGGTGCGTGCGCGCCTAGCTGCAGCAGCTGGCTGCCGAGGTTCTGCCGCGGGCGGGGCGGGACGAGGCGGGCGGGGGGCCGCTCCACCACCGATCGCCGGGGCTCGTGTGAGGTTAGGGGAGAGGCAGGCCGCCGTCAAAGCCAGCTGATCAAGGCTGCCGAAACCGTCCATTCTGAACGACAAAACTAGTGGCCAACACCGAATCACTAGGCACTAGGCGAGGAACGCGGGCGGAAACATCGCCAAAAAACCGGGTACACAGGCGTAAGAGTCAAAGGCATCGAAACCCTCTCACGAACAAGTCCATCTCACGCCGCATGGAATAGACGCGCATCTTAAATTATTGTAACTGGCTGGCTACATATTCGTATAAAGTACGGAATATGTTCGTATGGGGCGGTGGCGCTGGCGCCGCTGTACAAAGAAGCTGTCTGGTTGGAAATGCGGCCTTGCGCTCTTAGCTCAGAAAACTGGTCAACAAAACGCTCAATGGACGATGTCAACACAACATAAACCAGGTTGGAAACCAACATCATAACGCTAACGCAGAAAAAAATTCCAAATGGTCTCCATGCGAACAAAATCGCTCCGCGGGACTGACGATACGGGTTTAGTCGCCCCAGTCCATGTCTAGCTGCCGCCAAGCCACATCGGACACCGCTAAAAAGGAGGCGGGCCGACGGACCAGTCGGGTGGTCGCCGCGAGGAGCCGGGCCTGGCACGCATGCTGTCGGGGCAGCTGTCGGGGCAGCCCAGACAGCATACGCTGCCGGGGCAGCTGTCAGGGCAGCCCAGACATCAAACGCTGCCGGGGCAGCTGTGGGCAACGCCCAGACAGCACACTCCGCCGGGGAGCTGTGGGCACCGTCCAGACAGCACACGCTGCCGGGGCAGCTGTCAGGGCAGCCCAGACAGCACACGCTGCCGGGGCAGCTGTGAAAGCCGCCCAGACAGCACACGCTGCCGGGGCAACCGTCAGGGCAGCCCAGACAGCAAACGCTGCCGGGGCAGCTGTGGGCGCCGTCCAGACAGCACACGCTGCTGGGGCAGCTGTGGGCGCTGTCCAGACAGCACATGCTGCCGGGGCAGCTGTCAGGGCAGCCCAGACAGCACACGCTGCCGAGGAACGGTGAGCGACGTCCAGTGAGCACACCCTGCCGGGGCAGCTGTGAGCGCCGCCCAGACAGCACACCCCGCCGGGGCAGCTGTGAGCGTCGCCCAGACAGCATAGGGCAATTGTGAGCGCTGCCCAGACAGCACATCCGCAGGTCTGTCGGGCATGGACCGACGGGTGCATGGTCAAGCCACCGCGGACCGCTTGCCGGCACCGACACAGCGACTCAGACGTCCTGCCACAACCACTGGCGGACACGGCACGCCACCGGCTGCCAGCGGGCTGACCGGGCGGCCGATAACTGGGACACCGGGCCTGGGCCGCCGCCGATGGCGCTGGGAGTGAGGGCCAGGCAGAGCGCGCCGACGGGACCGGTCAACACGAGCTGAGCAGGTCTCCCGATCTAGCGGCTGCCGGAGGGGTACAGCAACTGTTGCGGTCACAATACAGGCCGCGCAAGGTGTCGGCCTCTCACTGGAGGCGCCCGCGCTGAAATACATACAAAGACGGCTGCAGCAGCCGCCGCCGCCACCACCTCGACTCGACTCGAAAGACCGGGGTCCGTGACGGAGGCCCGTTTGATCTTGTGATAATCTCGTTAAAGCTGTGAGTGCGACCACGAGCTCGCTTATGACGCTGATCCGGTCCAAAGGCGACGGTCGGGGTCCACGGCCGGGAAAAGGTCAAACCACAGAGCCGGCTCGCTGGGAGCTGCGGGGTGCCAGCACGTGCCGGTCGGCGGCAGACCGCAGGCACGCCCGGTCACGAGACTCTCGCGCTCTCTCTCTCTCTCTTGAGGCGCCGTCGCTGCAGGCCGGTCAGAAGGGACGCGCTCGCCTCCCGTCCGTCGGCGCTCGCTGGCGTCGCTCCACCGGTCGTTCGCCCTCAGCGCCGGGGTGCGGGGCGCGGCGTCAGCCGACCGGCGCCGCGGCGTTACTTGTTAGAGGCGGCGTCGCCGGTGGACGCCTTGCCGCAGGAGACCGAGTCCTGCTGCTCGGCGTTCTCCAGCTCGGTCTCGTTCTCCTCCAGCAGCGGCACGCCTGTCGACACAGCGCGCGCCGCTCAGCGCTCAGCTGGGGCGTGGCAACACCGCGGCGGCGACCTCGCACGATCGACACACGACCGGCACACGACCGCGCCGGGCCAGACGGCCGCGCCGCGCCGTCCGGCGCCGCCCGCTCGCCCGGGAGCAGCACGTACCCTCGGTGTTGAGCACGGACGACGTGTCGAACGAGGCCAGGCTGCCGCACATGCCGCGCACGCTGGCCGAGGTAGCCGCGCTCGGCGCCGTCGACGCCGCGTCGCTGGTGGCCATCGTGTCCGTCGAGCCCATGCTGTCCAGCAGGGACGGCGTGGCGTTGGAGGTGCTGCGGCCGGCAGTGGACGGGTCAGAGGCGGCGTCAGAGATGCCACAGCGGTCGGGCGTGCCCTCGCACCGATCGCTGAGGCGGCTTCGACGACCGCTCTGTGTTGCTGATACTCCGGCGATAACGACCGTCAGACGGACGGCTTGTTCCACTCTTGGGTGAAGAGCGGTGAGTCTTCGTTCACATGAATAAAATGAGATGTGACGAAGCTAGCGACATAACGTGTATCACGCCCGCTAACTTCGTTACCTTACAGTGTGAATTTAGCCTGGAAATCCCACCTTATATCGATTAAACTCAGAGGAAACATTTTCATACATAAAGGCGCGGATTGACCAAAAGTGACTTAAATATGTACATAGGTGCATTTTATCACGCGGTCGTAGCTGTCGACGGCAGCAGCATACCTCCCAAGCCTCATAACGCTGTCACAACACGCCCTTACACCGTGGCGTGCGCGGAGCCTGACAGCTAAATGTATCTTACACAGGCGCATGCGGCGCCGGCGCGCGACTCACGTGTTACTCTGGCGCGTGGAGGCGGAGTGGTGGCTCTGCACGGACCGCTGCGACACCGAGTCGGACTCCTGCTCGCGCCGCCAGAGGCGCTCGCGTCGCGCGGCCGGCGGCAGGCTGCGGTGGTGGTGCGGCCGGTGGGGCTGGGCGCCGGCCGCCGGCTCGGCGAACGCCGGCGCCGCCGCCCGCTCGGCGCGCACCGCCTCCTCGTACGTGGGCAGCACGTACTGCAACGGCCGACGTCGCCGTCAACGGTCAGCCACGTACTCGGGCACACCGCACGGTCGGCGCCGGCGGCTCCTGCCGGCCGCAGCACCGCCAAACGGCGACAGATCGCGACCACGGCAGCCTACATTCATCCGATACGTTACACATGACGGCGACAATTGCCCCCCGCTAGTGGCAAGCAGCCTGTCACATGTTCAAGAAATGCTCCCACCAACATCAACTGCACCATATCGCCCGTCTGCCCATGCTGCACACCAAACGCATGACCGGATACGCAACACATTGTTCTGCGGAAATACGCATAACCCGTGCCACGACACGTCAGCTTGGGAAGATCCACTTCAGCGTGACGATCGCGCCGCAGTCCGCGCCACGGGACGCGCCGCGTGTCGCCTCACCTGCGAGCCCTCCGGGTAGGCGATGAGCGCCACGCGGTCTGCGTCCTCTGGCCGTCCGGGACCGGGCGGCGGCGGCGGTGGCGGCCGACGCAGAGGCTTCCAGGCGCGCCGCTGCAGCAGCAGCGCCAGCAGCAGCACCAGCAGCAGCACGACGGCGGCCGTCACGGCCAGCAGCGTGATGCCGGCCGGCGAGAGGAGCGCTGGCGCAGCGGCGGGCGCGGCGGCCGGCTCCGGCTCGCAGACGGGAGCCAGGTGCGCCGGCGACCAGCAGCCGCCGGCGTCGCACGTCAGCCGCTGCGGTCCCAGCAGCCGGTGGCCGGCCTCGCACGTGTAGAACACCTCGGCGCCGGGCTCACGGCCCGAGCCGTACACGGCGCCGCGCGCCACGTGCGGCGGCCGCGCGCAGGCGGCCACCGGCTGGCAGCGCGGCCGCACGCCCAGCCAGCGGCCGCGCCAGCACGTCAGCCGCTGCGGCCGGCACGGCGACACGCGGTCGCGCGTGCCCTCCGAGCAGGCGTACTCGACGACGGCGCCGCCGGACGCGCCCTCGGCCGTCATCCAGCCGCGCAGCAGCCGCTGCGTGGTGAACGGCGCCTGCTGCGGCAGGCCGCACTGCAGCGGCCGCGGCGCCGGCTCGGGCCGCTCCGGCTGGCAGCCGGGCGCCACCGGCGGCGACCACTCGCCGCTCGTCATGCACTGGTACGTGTCGGTGCCAACCAGCACGTGCGCCGGGTTGCAGCGGTAGACGGCGCGGCTGCCGACGGCGTACTGGCGCCGGCTGGGCAGCGTGACGGCCCCCTCCGCCGACAGCTCCATGTAGTAGCCCTGGTTGGCCGGCGGCGGCGGCCCGCAGCCCGTCCGCACTGCGGAGGGCGGCGGTAGCTCCGGTCAGTCCAGACGGCGCACAGCTCGGCTTCGTTTAGGCGACATCCCAGAGAGAAGGACCTTGTTTGGAGAGGGGGGGGGGGGTAGCCGAGCGGGATCGCCCTCGGTCGGGTGACGGGCGAGCGAGATTGGACTCCTCAGGCGACTGACAGCCGAGCACGTGTCCAGCGACGTGACAAGGGAGGAGGGGAGAACTCACAGCTGGGACATGTAAACGCTAGCAAAGTTTCATCAGTAAACCATGGCACGAGAGTTATCGAGCAGTCATCATTGATTGGACGCAGCAACACGTGATCCTGGCATGACGGAGTGCCAGTGCACGTCATGACACGTACCGCAGACGGGTTCGTCACCGCGCCAGGCGCCGCTGGTGCACACGCGCTGAGACGCGGCGCCCTCCGGAAGGTGAAATCCCTCATCGCACCGGTAGATGGCGATGGCTCCGTGTTTAAAGCGCTCGCCGTCGTCGGTACGGATCCCGTCGACCTCCAAGCGGCCCGAGTCCAGGTCACTCGGCTCCGGACAGCTCAGCTCTGTCGGAGACGGTCGGCGGTGATCACGCTGAGCCCCTTTATTTTAATTCTGGTTGGCAAGACTACTCAGAATAAAAATCTGGGTCAGAATCACCCCAGGAACCCTTCACTGGGCCGGCTTCCACAGGCGACAACGCTAAAGCCTCTGGTCGTTACGTACGCCGGTAAGTCATGTGCTCCGTCACGAGGTGAGGACGGGGAACAAGTCCCCGTCGTTCCCGGAACCTTTCACTACGATGCTCTGCGATATTCTACGATGCCTACGATGTTCAACAAGCAGAAACATTTTTAAGACTACGTGACGCTCGTCGTCAGGCCTCATCAACCAAGCGCCAGCGACTGCATTGCCCATATTCACGCTCAGGGGCCACGGCGCAACCGCGATTCGAATCACGTCTCCTCGAGTGGGAGTCCAACGCACTAACCATTTGGCCATCACGCCCCTGCAGGATAAACACTTGAAAACAACACTGAATGTCTCCCCCCACAATTTCGTTTGTCCGTTACAGGGGTCCCGTGAATAAAATCTGTAAAAAATGACCCACATAGTCCACTACGGGCGGCATCTTCCCACTTTGGTGAAAATCTAGCCGACAGGATAAGAAGGCAAGACAGCAGCAATAATCTAACGAAGGCCCTTCCGAGATAACATTCCGAGCGACAAACGTGGGACCGTCTGATCAGAGCCTTTGTTTGTGTTTAAGGCTCAACGACACACTCAGCTACTGATAGTTCTACCGGCGTCGCCTGCCTCCCACCCTGGCAGGGAAGGGCGGGCACCGCGGGGAATCGAAGCCCGTATCTCCAGTTTCCCTGACGCGCAGTTTAACCACTACACTACCGATACCCTCCCGCCGTTTGTTGGCTCAACAGTTCCAGATTTGCTACCGAACTTCAGGACATCCCACATCTTTGTTGAAAATCTGACGGAAGGCGTCTCAGAAAATGACGACACCAGGGCTGGGGAACAACCGAACAAGATCATGCCACCCGAACGCGGGATTAAATAATTTTTCTTGCCACATTTATTTTTAGGATGATTGCCTCAGGTTTGAAAATACTCGAGCTGGGACACAGTTAAGCCCGCAAGATGTTATTTCAACAACTTGTTTTCACTGAACGATAGGCATCGGGAAAATCTCTACACTCCTCATGTTAAGTCACACGACACTACGAAAATGAAATCATCCTGGGTGATTGCCTTAGCTTTTGGTGTCACCAGATGATTACTAGTTGCGTTTAAGGGAGCTGATATTTGGGATTTGGACCATTACCTAAGATTCAATTCCGGACATGCCCCAGCGGAGATGAAACAGGAGTTCCTAACTTACACAATAACAGGTCGCTTAGTCAAAATTACCCGCAATTCGAAATTAAATCCCTGTCGTCTTCGAAACCTCAGCACCATATGTTACGTCACTTGAAGCGCAGTGCGAACTGTGGCTTGAAGAAGCATGCATTAGTGCCGTACATGTCAACTTCGTTTGCTTATTCAAATGTTGGGCTTAGCTTGGCTGGCTGGGCTGGGCAGGCAGCCTGTGCCGCGACTGACCTCTGCAGGCGGGCAGCCTGTGCTGCAACTGACCTCTGCAGGCGGGCAGCCTATGCCGTGACTGACCTCTGCAGGCGGGCAACCTGTGCCGTGACTGACCTCTACAGGCGGGCAGCCTGTGTCGTGACTGACCTCTGCAGGCGGGCAGCCTGTGTCGCGACTGACCTCTGCAGGCGGGCAACCTGTGTCATGACTGACCTCTGCAGGCAGGCAGCCTGTGTCATGACTGACCTCTGCAGGCAGGCAGCCTATGCCGTGACTGACCTCTGCAGGCGGGCAACCTGTGCCATGCCTGACCTCTGCAGGCAGGCAGCCTGTGCCGTGACTGGCTTCTGCAGGCGGGCAACCTGTGCCGTGACTGACCTCTGCAGGCGGGCAGCCTGTGTCGTGACTGACCTCTGCAGGCGGGCAACCTGTGCCGTGACTGACCTCTGCAGGCGGGCAGCCTGTGTCGTGACTGACCTCTGCAGGCGGGCAGCCTGTGTCGTGACTGACCTCTGCAGGCGGGCAGCCTGTGCCGTGACTGACCTCTGCAGGCGGGCAACCTGTGTCATGACTGACCTCTGCAGGCGGGCAACCTGTGCCGCGACTGACCTTTGCAGGCGGGCAGCCTGTGCCGTGTCTGACCTCTACAGGTGGGCAGCCTGTGCCATAACTGACCTCTGCAGGCGGGCAGCCGGTTCTCGTTCGGGTGGGCGGCGCTGCGCCAGCCGCCGTCGGCGGAGCACGTGACCCGGTCGGGCCCATTCAGCTGGAAGCCGTCTCGGCAGATGAGCCGCGCCCGGTCGCCGGGCCGGTACACGGCGTGCTCCAGCTGGAGCCGGCCGTTAGGCACGGCCGGCTCGGCGCAGTGCACTGGCGGGTGGCGGGGAGCACAGTCAGCTGGTCCGCCCACACAGTGATGCAGAGTCATGGAGAGTGCAGCTAAGGTCCAGCATCAGGCCATGCCAGCGCCAGTTACAGTGGTACCTGTCATATGGTGCATGGTAGCAGGGCACTCTGCGTGACTCTGTCTTCAGCCGAGGCCACCACTGGCGCTGCCGCACAACGTGATATAAGGGTACCACTCAGTTGATGGGCAAACCTCAAAAGTCCATCCTGGGACTGCACCACACATAGCCATGTGGTGTTGCTTTTCTGCCTCGACTTTGGGCATTCACATGACATAAAGGATTGGTTCATCTGGACATCTTGGATTGGACACTAGGTCCTGAACTATTTCAGCTTTTCTTATTTCCTCAGACACTGATGTTTCAGAAATGACAGTACTGACAACATTTCCTCTGACACAGCAAATCAGAATCAACAGAGCTGTTATGTGTGGCCTCTTCTGCAATTCAAAGCCTCTTGAGATATATGGAGATGTAGCTGATTAGTGAAACATGTTCATAAATTTATTGGCAATCTTTCATCACTTGCCAGGATGTTTTAAGTGGTTTAAAGTCCTAATAACCTGGTTTTGCTACTCATCCTCTTAAGCTTTCATGGCACTAGCTGCACAGTCTGGGTAAAAGATGGTAATTATATTGGTTATCTCATACTTGTCTGGGTGGCAGCACCTATTTCTCAACAATTAGAAACCCAAACCTCTGCCTGTAGTGGAAGTTTTATTTGTTTCCAGGCTGGAAAGTGCAGCCTTGCAGTAACACACACATTCATGTGCAAATGGGTGGTAAGTCAGGTCTTTGTCCATGAAGGGTTTTTAAAACCAAGCTTTTAAGCTGTAAGGCTTTTTGAGCTGGCCTATCACAGCCCTATCTGGACTCATCTAGATATTTTTTGAAGATGATTTGGGCTTTAGAGTGCACTGTCTGCCTTGGCCATGTGGTGCTCACATAATGCACCTTTAAGTGGCAGCTTTTAAAAAGGGACAAAGTCAAACACAACAAATTGTTTTATGCAGTACCCTCTACGCCATGTCATATTTCACATTCTAGTAGTTCATGACCAGTAACTTAAGTTTTGTGAAAAATTGATAAAACTGTAGAATAAAACAGATGAATGCAGCACAAAAGATGCATCAGATTGCTACATCATGCTGTTCACTGCATTCACCAAAGGTTCTGTTGTAGAAAAAGTGGGTATGCAAGGGCTAATTTAGGATGTTAGATACCCACATTTCGTACCTGTAAGCGTACAAATATAACATTTGTTTTCATTGTAAAGCCATATAAATATACTAACATTGGTCTCTGGCATACAAAACATATTTTGCTATCAACATTAACAGGCATTTCACGCAGAAATCAATCCAGAATCTGAGCTGGTAACACCCAAATGCACAGAATAATTTTACGTACTTCCATTAAAAGAGCATTTCTCATTACTGGGAAACACCTAACCATTATGGGTCATATGGATCATCATAAGCAAGATATGTGGTAATCCACCCAATATGTAAACAAGTAACTATCTTCCTAGCCTATGACACCAAATTCTTGTTACTGCACCCTTTGCACATGATAGCATTTCTGGAAGCAAACGCATGATTCATGATATACATGAGTTATAATCTTGGATGCATCTTGTTGCATCTTCAGGTGTGCACTCGCTACTGTAGGTGACCACTGTTAAACCACTTTTCACTGAAGATATTCATTTGCTGCTGAATGCCTTGTCAACATATTTGCAATATGATAGCTGCAACTTATTTGACAGAAAGCAATTTAATTGTGTAGAGAATTGCAACAGTTCCCAATCCATACACAGAATAACAGCTTAAAAACCATTCTTATCATGGCTATGCACAATGGTACATTTGGAGCACAGCATATATCAATACTGTTACCCAGGTGCAACAGCTAATCTGGCAATGTCACAGAAGCTCTTCAACGCGGAAACACACATAAAAGTGGCCTTAACCTGAAAGAAGGGCAAGCGGTGATTCTCCTTCGCCTTGAAACGTACCCAGCAGGCAGCCATGTGCCATACATCACCCCTCCCACCAAAACAACTCACCATCGTTGTTTCTGTTTGAGACAGATTCTGCATAATATGGCGCTGGCTTACAGAGGAAGCAAAGGAGCAGTAACTTCAGCATCATCGGCAAAAATGTCTATAACAGCTCGATCACACCATATTTATCATACACCACCCATCCATCGCCACGACCTCCAGACTTCTCCCACACAAAAACGCAGCCCTAGCCATGACAAGGATTCACAAATAAGAACATCTCAACACCTTTAAAGTACTGTTATGAAATAAGAGCACATATAACTGAAAGTAGAGCAACAATCAGCATTTAAACATTATCTCAACTCATAGCTGTGTGTTTTGGAAGCAAATATGCCCGTTTATCTAGCTGTGAAGTTTTTCTTTGATTGGATAATGACGACCAGTGTTATTATGATCAATGCATAAAATGTCTTAATACTCCGTCATAGAGGGCGCCACCGGGTGGGCGGTGTGAGAAGTCGGCCACCAGGGGCGCAGGCAAGGGACAAGGGAGGCCCGTGCTCATAAGTCTCGAAAGGCCTTCAAGACTGATGATAAAGGGCTAAGGGGCTCACCAGAGGCTGTGTTAAGTACACTGGTTTGCATGGTACATGCCTGTGAATGTCAGACAAAGCTCTTGGGCCGGCCGGGGGTGTTCTGGGACAATAAGGGCCCCAAGGTCGGCCAGAGAACACCAATATAGAAAAGTGTGCCCTGTGTCTGCCTGCGAGCTCATTTTCCACGCAAGGAGAACGCCAGGATCCGCCAGTGTCTGTGAATGTCAGATAAAGCTCTTGCTGGCCATGACCCATAAGACACTGGGACCCATGTGGCGGCCGGGGACCCGGTACCTAGCAGAGTCCTGTCTCGGCAAGGGACTCCAGTCGGCCAAGGGCTCATTCGCTGGGCTGCGGCAATGAAGGGACTTTTCTACACCAAGAGGCCCATTTTCTGGATTATGAGGATCTGGATCTGGATTTTTCTGAATATTTCTGAGTGAATTAGCCCACGCTCTAGATGAGCAAGCTCAATCCCATATTAAAGGAGTCTCTTATTATTAAGTCTCCATATTAAGTGGCTCAGGAGGCCACGTTACGGCATAGGGTGCCCCTGCTCTGGGTTAGTAGGCCCATCTATTTCCAGTTTCTGGAACAGGGTCCTCCTTTCATGCATCAGATTCCCGAGGCTCCGGGTCAAGACGTCCTGTTTTGGGATGACAAAGACCTTCAGCTAGATTCGGAGGCCCCTTCATGGCTTGAAAACATTCTTTTCAGGATTAGGAGCCCCTTTATATATCAGGAGGCTTTTTTCTGGAATAGGCAGCCCTGCCTTAGGATAACGAGACCCTTTGCTGGATACTTAGAAGGCTCTCTCTGGATTTCTTTAAATATCGACGTTTATTTACTTAGAGATGATGCATATGCAAGGTCTCCTGTTCCGGTGCCTTCCCTCCGGCTCACTAGTACATACGGCACGTCAGTCACGTCTGTATTTGACACTCGTTACAGGCGCTCGTCACAGTCCGTCCCGCCGGCACGTCCGTCCTCGCGCCGGCAGCCTCCAGAATCTTCTCCTTGTTTCCGCCTCCTCTCTTAGCCCCGTGGCCGCGGCCTTCCGCCTGGGGCGCAAGGAGGGGAACGCGAGCGCCTCTAAGAAGTGCTCGCCAAACTACGCAAGCATTCACTGATACTCACATAGGTGTTCTCTGACACTTTACACATAAACACTTTGATAAGGGGGTACACGCCCTCGGTGCCCTCCCCCCTCAGTACGACACTGTCCCGGAGGCCCCTGGAGGCCTCCCCCATTGTGGGAGGCCCCATTTTGTCCAGTACGTCCCTGGAAACTCCGACCACCCATCTCAAGATCTGTGGCGCCGCCGTAGTCGGGGCCGTCATACAGTGGAAGGGGGCTACCTTAGCCAGGGGTCCAGTAACGGGTGCCCTACACGCCATTTTGACGAGGAGCCTGGTAAGCCAGCATGGGGTTGCTGTGTCAATCATTTGATTTTATGTGGCCTAAGGGGTCCTTTTGCATAAGCAAGGGCCATGCGTCGATCCAGAGTGAGCCACACTGGTCAGGGGGCCTTTGCGTCTGGGAGGGGACCGATACATGCTTCAGCACAAAAACAATAACGTTAAACACCCAACAGGCGTCCCACTTTCTCCTGCACAAAAGCCCGCCTCAGCGTCATCCATCGTGGAGCCACCTCCATGCACAGTTCACGTAACGTCTTACCCGTATTACCTGTCTGATGACCACGTGCGCCGCAGGGGTGACTTTAGGCAAGGCGCGTGCCCCTCCAGGGCCTCCGGATCGACTGCGGGCCCCGACCCTACGTGCCTCTAGAATGGTAGCGGGTGAGTTCCCCAGGCTGGGACTGCGAGGTCACTCAGGCCTAAAAGGTGAAGGCAATGGGCCCCTGGTGTTCATGTGTTCAGCCCACGCGGCCCCTTAAAGTATTTGCCCACCGGCATAGAGAGCATTGGCCTCCACAGAGGTGGCCCAACTCGGGTGATTTTTTGGGGAGCCAGGGGCATTCCATCAAGCTCAGTGCCTCTCCTCACCAAGACTCTGGCTACACCCATGGTAACCACAGACTGTCATCAGACATGGCGGACGAACCAGGCGTTGTCATTAAAAAAAAATTGGGACGTAAGCCCACGACCCAGCGACATAACCTCCCCAAATGTGTGTTTCTCAATGGTTTTAGCACACTTGCTATTGGCAATGCTATTGTTTTGTTTGGATTATTTGTCATATATTCCTTAATCTGAGTAGCACAGTGCTCATGGTCAGTGCACAGTGCACAGTGTACAGTGCACAGTGCTCATGCTCAAATCATGGCCACAGAAAGAGCCTTTGTGTGCCAATCAATTTTCCTAGGCTGTTGTCAAATATCATTCAAAAATATTGAGCAGAGGGAGGAAGCCAATGCTGTGGGGTGCAAACTTCACATTGGAGTCCAGGGCTTTTACACAAGAACGCAAATTGACATCCCTGGGACGAATGTGTCTTTTTCTGCATCTATTTCTTTAGGACAACCTTCGAAATCCATAGCATATCTAGTATACAATGATAACGGTCATCATCCGAGGCATTATGTACTAATCCAGAAAATGTCCTAGAATGATGGTGCATGTTCCGGACTGGTCATGCTGTGGAGAACCCCTATCCCGAATTTCAGAAGGCGCCAAAAGCGTAAGGGTCCGTGCACTGACAAAATCAGGGGCATGGTTCAGGGTGCCACGGAGATATTCGGGCCTTGAGGACTGAACGTAGACTGCAGATCAAAATGAGGTCAAATATACCTATTGATATGGCCAACTTGTGTTCACCTGGGGATGCTCATTCTTTTTCCCATGCGGCCCACGGTCAGCCTTTCGCGCCCATCGGGCCCTTGATTGTCGGTCCCAAGGGATGGATCCGTCTCTGAATCTTAGATACAACCAGGCTACAGCCAAGAGTGCCCCCCCACCTCCCTAGGCCCAGATTTTTTGTCCCAATATAGGGGGTTCCCGATGGAGTCAAAAATCGGCGTGATGCGTGCTCACCCAAATACGGGCTCATCACTCAAGAAAATCCTGGCTGTGCTCCTGGATGCAACCGCTTTAAGTGTAACAGCGTTAAGGTCAAAAACAGAAGCAAGACTTTGGCTTTAACGTCCCCTATTCAAAACAGGCTTTATGCTTTCCCAAATATATCTTCAAATGTGGAACATTTCCTTTGATATCGCGGTAGGTGTAGTCTTTTCTCGCGACCGACCTAATCACATTTACGTCGTCTGTACCGTTCACCAAAATATGACAAAGCTGAGTTCGTTTACTCGCGCAGTTTCTTTATAGACGACGATAACATTGATCGATCATGATCAACACTGACGATAACACTGATCGCAACATAACGGTAAAAGACACCTACAGGAAACAATGTCACACGTCAACTGTTGGCACTGAGGCAATGGGAAGATCTTTCCGATTTCCCGAATTCAGAGCCGAATAAGAATCACAATTGTGAGTGACGACTGAGCAAATTAACCAAGATCGATTCACCTGAAATCAGCAGTCGTATGCCTTATGTCAGGTAGGAGAAAGTGATGTACGTAGCAGCGACGATGTCGGCGTCCTTCAGGTGACCTTCAATCCAGGTGACGTCTGGCTACGCCTGACGTCTGGTGACGTTACGCTGACGTCTGGTGGGGTTTCTGAACAAAGGCCCTGTCATACCTGACGGGTCTCTATGGATTGGAGAGCCGGGATACGACGGGCGACGAGGACATCGTCTCCGTCACAGTGTCTCGTGACGGAGACGATGCTGAGAAATCAGTGCACCGTATATATCTAAGATGTTCCGTAGTACGGCCCTCGCTAGGACCGATATGCTCGCGATGCGATAGGGCAGGAGACCCTCTTCGGACAAAGCGTAGGCCCCATTTTACATGACCAGGGGGAAGGAGCGGGATTCTGTCAAGACCGACAGGAGGCACTTGTGGTCGAGAGGGGGCCCAAATAACATGGCGATCAGTAATGCATACGTGGTAGTTGGTTGCTTGGAACTATACGAGAACTGATATGTACATTTCTTGAATTGTAGACTGCTACATGCTTGCTTGTGTTAACACATCCATTTCCATTGTAACCTTTTTTCTCATGTATTGGAGAAGCTGGGCAATGGAACTCCTTCCATGGTCGGTTAAGGTGGATGGGGTGGGGAAGCCATTTTTTCATTATTTCTTTCCAGTCAACGCTCATATGGCCTATGTTGAACCTTGAAAAAGTTGGAGGCCTCAGGCCCCTGGCCTCCCTAGTTCCCGTGCCCTCGTAGAGAGGTGGCTACATTGGAAATCACAACTAACTTTGCCACTTTCAACGCTCCCAGGAAATTGTACATGTTATTGCGAAGTAACTACAGGCGTAACCAATACCATCAAATACGTTAGGAGGTGTACCAGCAGGAGAAGGTGTCCTATACGATGAAGACCCAACGAATATCGGCCTCCTCACCTTTCAAGTTCCTGATGCCATCGCTGTCTCGCACACTTCCATGCTGTTTCAAAGTGGTGCTATTCGGAACACCACTAATCCCCGAATACATGGATCTACCACGGCAACGTGCAATGGGACCAAGTGCTCCCATCTCTTACAATATTTAATATTACGTCT